GTAAGGGAGGGAGAATCTTTATGAAACACTCTTGTACACACCAGAGGCGGCTTGAGCATTTTGGAGGCTCCAGACGAAAAATATTGACTATGTATAAATCACTTTTAAAATCAGATAAATTGAATAAAAACCGCCTTATGAAAAAAACATATTCAAAATCCACAATATAATGTTTGTAATATTCAAAAGGATAAATTTTAAAATGCAAACTTATTCAAAACACAAGGCAAACTTGTACTTGTAAAAGTATTAAGAGACTTAAAGAACTAGACTCAAAGAGAAGAGCTGAAGAGTCTTAGTTGATTCACTAACCAAGGACCCATGTCGACGGCGGGCAGTGAGGCATATATACAGTACCCGATTAGAGGTCTGTGTTGGACGTTGATGCGTGTTGAGATCGGATTTTGATAGTTTTTTCCTAACTTTAAGGTGTCATAAGTCTCAATTTTAAGCTCAAGTCATATTTACCGGCCGTTGGTTCGAGTTTTGGTATTTTTGGAGTCAAAATCGGGGAATTTGAGTCTGACACCGGTGTTTGAGAAGAAATAGGTACGAGTTGAGAAGCATTTTAGAGTTGATTAGGAGCATTGGAGATCAGTGAGGTGTTAAAGACAAAGTTTTGAAGACAAAAGAGCTCTAGAATTGGCTACGGCATCAAAAGAAGACGAATAGAGCTTGAAAACAACGGTCAGGATGACGTTCTGTCAATCGTTCAAGCATATCTTTTCTTAGGAACATCCAAAAAACATGATTCAAGTTTCATATGAAAGACAACTTCAAGGGATACAAATCATATGAAGACACCATTGTGAGAATATGAGAGAAGCAAGGTGAAAACAGACGATGAAGTCAGACAACCTCTGTTGAGATTTCAGAAAGCGACCTTCCACCATTTTATTCATATATTTTTATTGGATGATTCAAATCCAGTTTTGCAAGTTGTGTTGGATAGAAGACTTCATTAGCTACAACTTTGATGAAGTACGAATAGTCAAAAGTGAACTATAAAGCTGATTTCTGCTTGTAGTTGCCGCTTGGTGTATTGGCGAACGCAAATAACACCGAATACTAATACCGGAGTATAATTTTTTGGAGCCCCCCTTGGTAGTTGAGGCCTAAGGCAGTTGCCTGGTCCAACTGCCCTCAAAGCCGCCCCTGGTACACACCTTATACACACCATGTTGGTGAAGTTTTTTTTTTGTCTGTTAACCCGGTTCACAGACAATATTTTGTTTGTGCACACCTTATACACACCCGTTGGGGTTGCAAAATGAAAATGAGGACAACTATTGAATATTTATGACACAATGAGTCAATGACTCCTGGGAGTATTGAAGAGAGGGAATGGCCAATCACAAATCCACATGCGCTTGAAAATGAAGCAACAAACACAAGAAGCACAACTTAGTAACTAAGGTAATATTAGACAGTAAGGAAAACGTTGGAGCAAATCCAATAAAAAGATAACGATTTTGGTGTTCATCTCATCTTCCTCCTCAGCCGTTGAGTTACTCTGTGAAGGTAAAGAGAATCATGGAAAATAAAATTCTTCATCTCCCTTGGTAGGAATTGAACTAAGACCTCTCACAAAGGAGGGAATGGTTGTTCACCCCATTAAACCACACCACTTCCTCATTTTAGGTGATCTTTTCAAGTGGTATTATATTGGTGAGGATTAGAGCTGACTGAATCTTTTGATTTTGCATGAATGTTGATGGATGTAGACTGTAGGGACAACTAAAAGCAACAGAGTTGTGATAATTTGTGTGTTGGTTTTTGCAAAAAAATAGTTTATTTTTAGATCTTAGACCAAACTGAGAACAAAACATACAAAATGTGAGCAGGGATAGATCTAGGATTTCGAGTCTTGGGGACGAATTTTTTTTTTTCCGCTAGTGTAGCGGAGCGATTTTTTCCCGGGGAAAAAATTATTCTCTAGTGTAGTGGGGCGAAATTTTTTCGCTAGTGTAGCTGGGCGATATTTTTCGCTAATGTAGAGCTCTGCGGCTATTTTTTATTCAAGAAAATTTCCTTAGTACATATACCATGTCATTTAAATCTATTACATTCTAAGTTTACACAATGGAAAAATAACTTTGATTTAAGTATTCTAAAAAAAGTATTGATACAATAAATGTAAGAAATGGCAAATCAAAGGAAAATTTTTGAAAATAAAAAAGGATGTATAACATTTTGTCAAATTATTTGAAACAAGTTCCACATTTGACTTCACACATATTAAGAAAATAAATTTGACTTTACTGTGGAGTGCACTGTTTGGCATTGTTTGAACACTGTTTGACACTGTTTGAACACTGTTTGACACTGTTTTGATGTAGATAATAAGGAAATGTTTGAAAGTGGAACTTAATTTTGAATCTGCCCGAAAAGGAAAGGTGGAACTTTTTTCAGAAACGGAGGGAGTATTATATTGCTAATTCATATATATGGTTCATATTATATTTGTATTAATGCTAAAATATGTTAGAGTTTACTATATGTGCAAATACATTGTCTTTAGAAAGTACAAAGTAAATAATTGTACGTAGTACGAAGTATAATTTAATGTTTTTAACATTTATATTTCAGATTCACTTCACATGATCAAAAAATTACTACCTCCGTCCCTTAAAACTTTGTCAAAGTTGACCGGCACGGAGAATAATAAAGTAAAAACCGTGTGATCGAGATTTGTGAAGAGGAGAGAGAAAAAATAGAAACCACAAAATAATTGATTAAAAAGGAAAGTTGCAAAATTTTTTGGAACGTCCCAAAAAAGAAAGATGACAAAGTTTTAGGGACGGATGGAGTATTTAACTAGTGTTTATGGTTCTTAATATGATTTGATATTTTACAAAATAGAGTACCCAATATCTAAGATAATAAACTTCATGTATGTATGTGAAGAGTAAATAAAAGTTAATATTGAGACAAGGGGTTATTTACTTACTCCGTATTTTATATCCGTCAACCCTCCCCGAAGGCTTATCTTCACGACTTCACCAATATCACAACTCAATAATAAATGTGGAATCAATAATAGATGTGGAATCCAATGTAGACTACCAAGTATAACGTTGAAGCTCCAACATCCTTTTACTCCCTTCAAAAAGCAATCATTTTTACCACTAGAAAACCCCGGAGTCTTTTTTATTTGATAAAGGATGACACCCCATTCCCGAAAGCCCGATCGGATGGTACGTTGGGAGGATGTAAAATTGGATTATAATCACAATCTAATAGATAGAGAGTGAGACTCCGTCTCCGGTACTTACAGAGACCCTGTGCATTTTTTAGACATAATAACCTCTCAACGCAGTTGCTGGGATTTGAACCCGGGATCTAACTATTGTGGCACCCCTGTAGTCTTTTTTATTTGATGATTCATTTCTTTTCACAACCCAGAAAGCTATGATCCTCATTCCCACTCACTTTTCACAACTCTACATTATTTGAAGTGACTGAACAAAACATTTTTGCAGCAACATGAAAAAACATGCACAAATGCTAAAGCTACTCCAAATGTACCTCATTTTACCTAGGGATGGACTAAACCAGGCCAGCCCGACCCGGAACCGGCCCGACCCGACCCGGAACCGGCCCGGCCCGTTACTGTTTGGGCCCGGACTGAACCAGGACCGGTTGGCCGGTTCCGGGATTTTAGCCCGTTTGGGCGGGTCGGGCGGGCCGAGGTCGGGCCCAACTTTTGGTGAACCGGCCCAGACAGTTCGGGCCGGGCCCGGTTCAATTTTTTTTTTGTTTTTTCAATTTTTTTTGCTTTTCTAGGTTAGGGTTCGGTATTTTGGGGGATTTGGGGGGTGGGGATGAAGGGGGGGGGTCGGGTGTTAATTAGAAACCAAAAAAAAATTGAACTTGACTCAGGCCCGGACCGGCCCGGTTAGGCACAGACTCAGTATCAACCCGGGCGGTTCCGGACCCAACATTTTACAAAAAAAGCTCACCCAGACTCGGCCCGGAACCGGAACCGGAACCGGAACCGGAACCGGAACCGGAACCGGAACCGGAACCGGACCGGCCCGGGTTCATCCCTAATTTTACCTCATTCCCTAACGTGTTGGGTCTCTTAAATCCTTGAGGTATAGGTGTACTAAATTTATTTTCAGCTGAGTGGGCAAAGCCACTTTGTTGTGCCTATCGCGCTATACTGCAGAAAAAAACCACTAATGTTTGACTAAAATTAAAATTATTGAATTAGTTCTTTTCTCGCATTTTTCATCATTTTCAATGGAGTTAAATATCCGCTATTTTTTACTTGAGAATGTGATGGAATAAAATAAATGACTCACTAACTGTTTGCGCTTTTATGTTACGAAACAACAGACAATCTATGTACTTATTGACGCGATTTTCATCATGCGTCATCCGATAACATTTTCTTTTTGCTTTAGTACAAGGGTAAGACCGCGTACATCCGACCCTCCTACTCTACCATAGGTGGAAGCAGGGGCGAACCTCTTTTGTTCAACGGTGTTAAGTGAACGCCCAAAATTTTAAAAATAAAATGAAAAATACATACTCCGTATATATAATTGATGTAATAATTTATATTGATTTTTATGCAATATTTCTTGCTCTAAACCTTATTTTGGTATTTTAATGTTGAAAAAGTTACATTTCTCAATTGGTGAACCAAACTATATTATTGTGCAATAGATAAAATAATTTTGAACACCCTATATTTGGTTGCAAGATCCGCCACTGGGACACTGGGTGGAAGCCTTTGCGGCACATAGGGTAATGTTGTTCTCGCATAGATAATATAGCATTAGTGATATAATTTTATATATTTAAAATTACAATTGAGTTTTTATTACAGCCAAACCAAATTTTAAAATGACATAATTTTTTAATACTAAATCAAAAATTGAAGACAGTTTTATTTACATGCAATATTGTACCTTAGACATCTAATTTGGAATGAGGAGTAACCTTTTAAGTGTTTGTGTTTCTGGAATTGGGCAATTATTATTGGTCATTTTATTTGTATTTTTATCTAATTGCAAGTAATTCAATCAAACTTTATTCAAACGAGACTGAACATTTCTGCTTCTTGCATATTATATTATTATTACAAAGATGGAAACGCAAGAAGCTATTTCATAAAAGTAACTCCTAAATGTTAATATAATGCACAATAATGACGCTCCTAATGGTAATTATTGTAAACTACACATACACAAGTCTACAGCTAATACAATAAATAGAGGGCCTAAAACTATAGGAGCGGCAATTAGCTTCCTCACTTCTTTGGCATTGGAGAAAGAATGGGCAGTAAATATTGAGATCAATTATTGACTCACTCTCACCCAATCATAACGTCCAGGCAGAGGCATATCATTGGCAATGTCAAAATTATACCTGCAGGTAAGATTCCAAGATAGATAAATAAAAAGTTAAATGTTTGTGACGTGTTTGTTTGTCAATATGTGCAAGTTGAACAAAACGAGTGACATACTTGTCAATAAAAAGTGTCTGCTGTTTCTGTTCTGAGTGAATGAAGAATTCGTCCATTTCTCCTATTGAAGGAAGATAACTCATGTTTGCCCACCCTGTTACTGAACCAAGGGCATTCAGGTCTTGTTCCTCACTTACAAAGCTACAAGGAGTGGTTTCCCTGGGAGAAACACACAAGAATTAGTTGCATACAATGTCCCTTGTATATTTGAATTCAAATTTTATTACAACTCCTCCTAAAATTGTATTCCAACACTTTTCCTAGAATGTTACTAAACTCTGAAATATGATGACTATTCTTTTTTGGTAGCTGTGATGCAATACTTTAACATGATCATTGTTACTAAAGGTTTCTAAATCACATTTTTGTCCACTGTCTTAATTTTGGTCATATATTAGATATTACGTAGTAGTTCTTATCTTTTTAATCCCAATTTCCCCCTTTTTAGTTAATGGTTTATGTGATTGATATTGTTTCTCCTTTACATGTAACACAATAATACAGCTTCAATTTCTTAATAAGTGTGGAAAAACCAAACTCAAAAGAAAATTTTGAGACGAAGTAATGTTAACTTAATGATGATCTGATCTAGTCTCTCACTCTCTTGGTGAGTCTGCCTTATCAGATTTGGATAAAAAATACTTCTCTATTGTTAATAATTGCAACATTGTGACTTTTACACTATTCACAGACTTTATTTGTCCATGATTTTCTACTAATATATATAATCAATTTATTATGTACAAAATATTATTAAATTTATATTAATATGAACTTTCAAAATATTTTGCCAAAAAAAATGAACTTTCAAAATATTAACTTTTTATAATATTTACTAATATGTAATTATATAAGTACAGTCAAAGTTGTGTGTCGGTAAACATGAAAGTCAAAGGGTTGCAATTAAAAAAGAATTGAGGTAGTAATTCGTAAGTCCAATTGAGCAGTTTCTGCCACCGTGCCAATATACTCAATTCCAAGTAAAAAAACCTTTCTATTTCAGACATTTCATGAAAGTATGGGAGTATGAAATTACTCCTTTAAGATGCTAACAACACTCTTAGAAGAATAGTTTTAATACAGTATTTAATACAGTAATACAGAATAAATAGGTGTAAACCAAAATAGTGGGTGTAAAAGAAGCGGAAACAAGAAATCAGTGTTTGAGCAAAAAGGGAACTCCTGCCGAAGCCAAATAACGGAGTTTCCCATGAAAGAAAAAGGCCAAGAAAAAAATGACAGGTTTTTGTGAATGACTGGATTTCCCCCCTTTAAAGAATCACAAAGTAGAAGAAATTTAACAAAACACGATTTGAGTAAAACAAAACTATAAGAGGTGCCCAACGGCCCACAAATATAATTATATAACTAACTACAAACTACTGAAAATAAAAACAATTCCTTTTGCCAATATGTATGAATGTACTCTCTCCGCTCCCTAACTTTGTCCCATTTTACTTTTTCATCCGTCCCATTAAGTTTGTCTCATATCATATTTGAAAATATTTGAGTGATTACAATTCATTCTTATTTTATTCGCACTTTATCAATTCAATATCAATCACACAATTCTACTACGAGTATTTCTTAAAAGTTGTTCCACACTGTCACAAATATAATGGGACAGAGGTAGTATTATTTTCAAAATTATTGAGGGTACTAGGGAAGATTTAGAAATAGAAAGAAATGAATGTTGCCATTGAAAAAAAAATAGTGGGAAGATGTGAATATGACTGAGGGAGTAATAATTACTCCATATTTTAGATATTTTTTTTGAATGCCCAAATTTTAGAATTTAGTAATCGGTATTTGATTCATGGAGTTTTACTTTAATTTTTAATGACTTTTATCTTACTTTTCATCTTCTTTTATGTCAATCCCGGTGGTATGTGATGAGACAACGTGAGCTGCAAAATTGACTCGATGGAACAACCAATCTTAAAGTTGGTATGCCATTTCCTAACTCTTACTTTTGTGAAATGGTATGCCATGGCTGAGTATAGCCAAATCAATTGCTGAATTCAGCTCAATTGAATCTCTTAATTGAGTTTCAATCCTAAAAAGATCAAATAACAATAGGAATAGAGCAAAGCGTCAAATCTTGGTTTTTTCTACTTTCTAATCTTTCTCTTTCATTATTTCTTCTACTATGGTGTTTTTTGGGGAAAGTTGTCATGTTTTTTGAGAAAAGACTAAAACAGTTTTAAAATTCCAAAATATGGCTGTCATATTTTTTATTCTCAAAATAGGAATAATTACTGCCAAATTTACAAAATACTGCCATATTTGAAGTCTGGTATTGCCAAAACATGACAGTAATTAAGTCATATTTTGGGAATAAAAATATGTCAGTCCTATTTTTGAATTTTCAAACTATTTTAGTCCTATTTCTATTTCGGGTAATATTCTCCGTTTTATTACATACTTCCTATTCTCTATAGTATTTTCTTCTGCTTTGTAAAAGCATATAGGAGCAACTTATAAAATACGACAAAAGTAATACTCGTAATAAAAGAAAAAACAAAAATGATGTTTGTACACATTCTTATACACAATTTTGTACACACTTATGTCTGTGAAAGCTTTTTTTTTTATCTGTGAACATCGATTCACAAACAATGTTTTGCACAAACAAAATATTGTCTGTGAACCGGATTCACGAAAAAAAAAGCTTCACAAACATGATGTGCATAAGATGTGTACACGGGTGTGTATATCAAGAATGGTTGAAGAAAAAAACAATACTCCTTCGTCCCGATATGAATTACAAACTTTGATCGGCGACAATAAATGATCTTGCTTTTTACACTTTTGTTTATGTTTCTAAAAGTAGATGCCTTTAATTTAATGGGGAAAAAGTAAAAGTAAGAGCAAATTTGTCACTTTATTCTTATTTACGTACCTAAAATAGAAAGTAGAAAATCTTGGGACAACCAAAAAAGAAAATTTTGCAAATCAAATTAGGACAGATGGATGGAGTATAACAATAAAAATCATGATAAAAAATTACATTTATTTAAATACCTGTCTCTTGGTTCAGTGTCAACTATGTCTATCCCATACGAAGTCGTCCCTAAGCTCAAATTGTAACTATCACACTTTACTGAACCCGAATTCACTCTGACCCGTGAGCTAGAATCGGCATCCGAATGATGGGAATCCAGGTCTTGCGCTGAGCTCACCGGTTTCGACCCCGAGTTCTGGTTGCGCTTGGGTGATTTTTTGGTATTAACGGGGAGGGTCGGGGGTTTCTCTAGCCTCCGAGAGCGGAGCTGGAGATAACCGGAGTCTAGATTCGGCGGCAGCGAAGCTGATTGACGGCGTTGTAGTTCTAGGGTTCGGGCGCGAGTGCGAACGCCAATTGTGGTCTGTGATAGCTCCATCACCGCCACATCGCCGGCGATCTTAGCTTCTCTCATGTACTTCCCCATCTCCCTCTTATCTGCTGTTCGAACAGCAGAAACGTTGAGGAGGCTGATGACGAAGGACGGTAGCGGTGGTTTCCGTGATTTGAGGTTTTCAGAGGAAAGGGAAGATTTGGTTTGAGCGGAGGAATAGAGACGAAGGAGAAGAGAGAGAGGCGCGAGAGAGACTGAGCATTTAATAATGCGAGTGAGGTCAGGGGTGCTGTTTGAAAAAATATATTCTTCCATCCATTAAAACTTTGTCAAGTTTGACCGGCACGAAAATTAATAAAGTAAAAAATGCGTAGTTCAAATTTTTACATAAAAAAAGAATTAATTGAACCACATATTCATTACTTAAAAGTGAAAGTGATAAAATTAGTGAGATATCAAAAAAAAGTTGACAAAATTTTAACAGATAGAAAGAGTACATGTTTTTTGGCAACAAAATTAATACTCCATTATAGGTATTGTTTGGTCCAAATTTGGTTTGGCATTATCCTACTTTTAGTCGTTAATGATTACAAGTATATTAATGACATTTTTATACTTTCTCACATTTAAATCTTTATATTTTTCTTTATGGGACATCTCATTTAAATGTTTATGTTTCCTTTTTAGAATGCTTCTTTTATATTAAATGTCTTAACTATCTTTCACCACTCATTCATTGTTTACATTTGAGTGGATAACATTAATTCCTCCTGAAAGTCAAATGACATGCAAGACATTTGTTCTTCTATTAATTAAACTTTAAAAACACCGTGTCAAAAAACAAAGCTCAAGATTTAACTGGAACGGAGGGAGTACATGTCTTTGAAAATTTTAGTAATAAGAAATTTTAAACTTTCACAAAAGTGACATTTTTATTGTTTCATAGTGATATTTTTAGTTGTCCACTTATATTGATAAAATGATGGTCTTCAAAGCATGAAAACGCTCAATAAAGAATGTGTTTCTGTTTTAAAAAATCTACAAAAACCCTCTATACAATTGGTTTTTAAAAGGTGGTGTTTCTCATTTCACGTGCCCCTATGATTCTAATGTTTCCATGCAACATAGATGATAATGGAAGAATTAAAACTATCAAACGAACAATTGTGAGAGTACTAAAAATATCTCTCGCACAATTTCGAAAAATTGAAAGTGGGAGAAATCAAATTTGAGTATTAAAAGTGATGGAGTATATGGCCCGGGAACCCCTGGCCCACAGACTCCTACTACTCCAATCAAGGCCCAACAGGTCTAGAATGCCCAACAAGCCCAAATCACAGCGCCCAGAGTACCAAGCAGCCCACAAATGCGCATCAGGGGTGCCTTCGGCCCTTGGCCGAAGGCTCTAACTCTCACAGGAGGGCCAGGACAGCAAAACAAAGTTACCGGGAAAAACGGCGAAGAACAGTAGCCCTCGGCACCTGGAGCCCTCGACACCAAGGGGGTCCCCAGTACTCAGAGCCCTCGGCTAGTCCTCTACAGCCGATGGCACCTTTCCCGACATGATATCCGCGCCACATGCGTACAAATCACCGTACCCTGTACAACGTCCCATCCAACAGCCGCATTAAATGCGGCCACATGCGGTTGCCAGCGCCAACCAGTTGAGGTGACCTCTCGACCAATGAACGCTTGACACGTGTCCCTGTCTGGCATTTATTGCTACTATAAATAGCACCCCATTTCCCCATTTGTAACCACGCTGAAAACGCTCCATACTTTACAATATACTTTCTCGCTATATACTTACTTACTCTGACTTCTCTCTTATTATTCCCCGTAATAACCCCTCGGATAAGCTACCCCTCGTCTAGGAACCTGGAGATGGCTTCCTCCCGAGCTTTGACAACAACCTTCACTCTGACAGCCTCGGCCTCCTCGGCGGCTTTCTTCGCGGCCTCCGCGGCAGCCTCCTCAGCCTTGGCTTTCTCCTCCCTGAGCCTTCCGGCCTCTGCTCTCGCAAGCCGGAGGTCCTCTTCGAGCTGGGCAATCAGCTTCGTGGCCTTGGAGTCCTTATGAATGAGCTCCTGCATCTTGGCGTCTTGCCCAGCTTTGTGGAGATGCCATTCCTCCAACCGTCGGGCCTGTTCGCCGAGGGCAAGGCAAGCCTGCAAATCAACAACGCAAACTGTCATGACAACCGCGCAAGATAATCTGAGGAAGGAGGGAAGAAAGCATGAGGGAACTCACAGTTAAGGAAGATCGGAGGATCTGGTCCTCAAGCGCCACATCGTCCAAGGCTCCGAAGGTAGCCCCATCTGTTTCAGGGGTCATGCCCCTCAGGAGCACCCTCGGGTTGACCGTGCAGTTGGTCACGGCTGTTCCCCTCGGGAGGGAAACCTGCAGGACCTCTGGGGGCATCTCCTCCATCCCCATCAGCTTTCCGGCCGTCGGCACATCCACGACCAGCCCGGAGGTTGAATGCTCATCCACGATCACTACCGGGGGGTCCTTCTTCGTGGCGTCCCCCTTCTTCGATCTCTTGGTAGCCGGGGGGGATTCCTTCGTCGTCGGTTTCCTCTTTGCGGCCGCAACATCCCCCTCGGGCTTCTTGAAAAATGCACCAACGGGCTTTTGACCGCCCGCATCCGACCCTTTCGGATCCTTGGCCGGCTTGTTCTTAAATCGAGCAAGGCCTTTCACGTTCATATTCGAAACGGGAATACCTGCAAAATAGTGAAGGGTTAGGCCGACGGGTCAACAACCATGGAGCAATAACATCAAGGTAAATAAAAAAAATGGGAGAAGAAAAGAATAGTAAATACTAAGTACAAGACTAAGGGCCCTCGTAGACTACCTCCTGCTCCCCCGAAGGGCTCATCAAAAAGGGGATACTTCTCGTCCATTTCCCCGATGAAGCGATATCTCCGGAAGCCGAGGGCGAAGAGTTCATTGTCAGCAGTGTAGTCTTTATTGGACACTTGCTTCGTGCGACCCTCCGGGATCTTGGCTATTATCAAGCCATCCTTCTCGAGAGCGGCGTTTTCAACCTTCGGATGCCGACGGAAGCGATCCCGAAGTTCAATCGGAAATGGGCTCTCAGCAACTCTGACGTAGCACCATCGCTCCTTCCAACCTTTATTGGACGAAGGCGCCTATGTAAATAGCTTCCACCTAGCTATCTGATGCAGGTAGGCAAAGCCCTCGGCATTCGCGTGACCCCCTCGGCAGAGGTTGAAGCTCTGGAAAAACAAGTCCAGGCTGGGGGTCACCCCTCGGTCCCGGCAGAGGTTCAAAAAACCCGCCACGTAGGAGTGGCTGTTAGGTGTCAGCTGGCAGGGGACCAAGCCAACAAACCTAAGGTACTCCCGGAGGAAGGGGTGCAGAGGGAACCGGAGGCCCATGGAGACCGACAGTATGTGTACTGCAATGCACCCCTCGGGCGCCCGAGACAGCACATCATCAACTCCCGGCTCGACCACCACGGCCGAAGGCCCTACGTGCAGCTGCGTGACGTAGAAATCCGCCTTGTCCGCCTTCGACTTTATCTCGAGGGCCTCGGTGTTCAGCCAAGAATACCCCTCGGGCATATCAACGGGCTTCCCTTTGTCGGCGGCCCTGACCTTCTTCTTAGTAGCAGCTTTCGCCTTCTTCTCCCTCGATCCGGGGGCTACTCTCAAGGGCGTCGGGTTCAGTGGCCTCGAGCTGCTTGCTTCACCGGAACCACGGGGGGGAAGGACAACCACTGTCACCCTCCTCCTATCCTTCTCTTCCTCCTCCTCTGCAACTTGTACGGCGAAGGCGAGCTCTTCATCCTCCGCCTCTTGCTCAAAGCCCTCGGCTTCAACTTCAGCAACTAACTCTTTCTGCATCTCAATGGCGAGGGCAACGTCACCACCGGCCGAAGGCTGCTCACTCAGGGACTCCGCGTCGGAAAAGACTTCCTCTTCAACCGAGGGATCCCTCGATATGTCTTGGGAATCACTAGCGGACGACATTTTTATAGGCTAATGTATACGGAGGTTCTGAAGTCCGAGGGCACCCTAAGAAACTCTAGACACTTAAGTCTAAGGTCACAGGAGCAAAACTCACCAAGTAAACGGAGAACAGAAGAGGGACTGACCTTGAAAACTGGGGATTCAACCGAAGGCTGGAGTTTCTCTCTCTAGAAATTTTGGCAGAGCTTCGCTAACAATACGATCGCACGAGAGAAATGATGCTCGGCCATGGGGTATTTATAGGCGCCCAGATCCGGGCTTGGGCCCAAAAACCGGGCCTCCGGTCACAAAGTCATCATTACGAGCCGTGGTTTCGCCCAACCGGTAACGCCGCCCACGGGCGGCCAACGAGCACGCACCACGTGGAAGCCCCCCCCCAACGGCTATATTTTGACGTTAGGTATTCCAACAGCTATGTTCACAACAGCTATATTCTGGGAGCCCCCGGCTATACTTAGCAGACCACTCCTTCATCAACCAGGAAACTAGTCCCCAGGCTTTCTACTTCACTCCACCTCATCAAGGAGAGCCCCCGGATACGCTTACCCAGAGACGCTCTCGGGTTGTGCCCCACACAGTACAAAACAGATGTCTTCGGGATCACTCCTTCGAAAGCCCCAAGGCTTCATAGCAGGCCACCCCCCGGGAATCCCCCCTCAGCACTTTGAGGGCCGGGGAGCCCCCGGGGACTATGCCTCATTGACGGATAGCCTATGACACACTGACGTGCACTCGTCGTTAGGTGCACTCAAAATAAATAATCAATACAACACTGATACGTAGTATAGTGTAGTAAGGTTCGTATCCACAAGGAAAGGAATACTTTTCTTTTATATAAATAATAACAAGGGGGGTTTAGATTTGCTTGGTTTAATAACACTAAGATAAACGACCTATATGAGTTTAATTCAATGAGATGAGGACTTGGTTTTGCTTTTATCCACTTAATGAAATGTTCGTCGATCCCGGTTATATCTTTAACTATCTTCCTCTCGAATACTCAATCGAGGAGTATATCCAGTTCATCGAGGGTAGTTATTAATAACGAGATGCGTTCATTAATAAAACTTACTATCGAGTCAATATAGAACAAGCGCCGTATATTAACTTGATAGTAGCAATAAACTTAAGATGAAAACGATTGAGATTGATAACCTCAACACAAGCGGTTTATTGGTTTAATCAATATAATTAATTCCCCTTGGCATATTAACCATGAGATGCATGCATTAATATCCCAAGTTTACTACCGTTGAAAGAACCGGATTA